TGGAAAAGTTAAAAAGCTGCATGTGACGTGTTCCAAAGGGAAAGTTGAGAAAAGCATCGGACGTGTCAGTCAGCAGCCGCAGGTGAGAGGATCTGTGTTGTGACCCGGAGTCTCAACCTCCTCGCTCCCTTGGCTTTTGAAACTTTCCTTACATTTCAATAATCTCCCACTTTCCTGAAGCTCCTGATGTTCACGCAGAGGACAGGACGATTTTTTTTTTTACTAGATAGTTGTTTCCCATTTCCAGTACCCGTAAAGCTTATTTCCCAAAATGTCAAACTTAGCAACCTGCAACACTGAGTTCAAAACTAAATCTTTTCACTTTTCTGTTTCATCTTCAATCTTTCTCATCACATCAGCCCGTCCACTGCACAGTTATCTACTATTTACTAGTGTGTAGTAATTAGTAAACACACATTAATGAGGAGAACATTGTTTTTCATTGAGCTCTTTGCTTTTCATTATTAAACAAAATGAAAATCATCCAAAGATAAATGTTTTAAAGAAACTAATTGTTATTGTAAATCATCCTTAATGGTGGTTTTCTTTCTTCATCTTTTTCTTTCTTCATCTGACCTTTCTTATTTTTCACAGTCCACATATTTTTATTTCCCATAATGCACATCCACATTGTGTTTTTATTTAAATGAGAGTGTTTAGATAGAAGCTGCAGAAATTAGCTGCAGTTCAGTGATGCCTCGGTCGCCTTAAGCAAATACTGATTATAATTAGTGATTTATTTACAGTTTCTGCTGCAGAGTAAAAGCGGTGGAGGCTTATCGTTCGTTTAGGCTGCGAGTGGGAGTTTGTGTTTGACCTTGAGCTTTTGTGCATGTTTATTTTCATCACAGCATTTTAAAGTCCAGGAGGAAACTCTGAGAAACTGACGAGCTGCTGCGGCGGCTTGTTACTTTCACTTTAAAGAAAATAAACCTTTTGAGATTTCAAGAATAATGTTTAACATTACGCAAATAAAGTCGTAATTGAGAAAAAAGTCGTAAATACGTACTTGATGTTGTAATTTTACGAGAATTCAGTCGTAACTGAAAAGAATGAAGTCAGAATATTCCAAGTAGGTGAAAACATTTTTAGTGTAGACTCGTTTTAAAGCAGGTTAAGATATTCCCCTTCTATGATGACGAGTATTCTTAAATTACTTTAAATTTTAACGTCTCTCGGCGTAAAATTACAACTTTTATCTCGTGAAATCACGACTTTGTTCTCATAATGTTTTTTCTCTTTAAGTGGCCCTAACACTGGTTCTGTTTAGAAATGCAGACAGAAGAAAACGGCGGGTACAGAGATGCGTTGCTAATCTAATTGTTGTGACCACTTTGCTCTTTGCGAACGTGTAATGGATCATTTCCGTGCTGGGAAAACAGCCATGAAAGAGAAATTAGAGTCGCGGAGTGGAGACATTTAAACTCTGCAATCTGCATAATGAACTTTAAGCGGCTGAACCACGACTGCGACTTTCTCTCCGCTTCACTTTGTTTCTTCTCCCTCTTCTTTTCCTCTCTCCTGTTACAGGCTGCAGTCGGCTGATAGCAAACCTTCTGTCACGGTGCGGAGCTGTGATGTTTCTATCAGCAGACGAATTAATGAACTACCAGTTCTCCTCCTCCTCCTCCTCTTCCTCCTCACCCCTCTGTCCTCTCTCCCCTCCTCATCCCGTCTTCTGTCAGCCTGTCCTCTTTGTCTTATTCTGTCCTCTTGTCTGGATGCCACCATTTGCATGTATTTCACTCATACGACGTGGTTTTTTTTTTTTTGTTTGTTTCCTTCCTCCGACAGAATCCACATGAAAATAAATGTGACTGTTCTGTTTTCATGTGGAACAGTCACATTTATCATCCCAGGGTTTTCCTGTTGAATTCTCTTTTCGCCTCCTTCTCTTGTTTGGACTGAACAAAACAAATCAACCGAACTGTCGCTCAGTCAGCGTGAGAGCTGGAGAGGTTTTCAGTTGTATCTTTAAAAAAAATACAATAACACTTAAACATTTAAAATCTGTTTTTATAGAGGATAAACCCGAGACTGCATTTAAACAATAACAACATCACTGCTTCCAGTGAAGCCAAAGGGTCTTTATCGCCCCCTGGTGGCCTAGTCTATACATAAACCCCACCTTTTCCATGTTAGTGGATGGGACATGAACCAAACTAAAAGGTCAGATAGATAGATAGATAGATAGATAGATAGATGGATAGATAGAGTGGACATAAACTTATTTACAGTTTGTGTCACTGATGTAAATCCACCTGCAGACGTGGAACATTAACAGTTTATTTTTGGGAGTTATTTCTGGTTTCGACGTTGCAAATCTTCAGCTTTGAAAAATAGGAAAAATAGAAGTGTGTATTTTTGGAGTGTACTGCCAGTGAGAGGTTGATACGGGGGGGGGGGGTTTAAACTGAGCACAGGAGAGAAGTGGAGGAGGAATCGCAGGAAGACGACGAGTTGAGGGGAGAAAGTGGACGTCAGAGAAGAAGAGGAAACTGACAGAGGAGGAGGAAGCGGCAGAAAGGCTGTCAAGGTGAAGGAGGAGAGCTCTTTGACTTGTTTCCTCTGTGCTGCTCCCCTGAGGATCTCTATTTATCTCTCTCCTCCTCTATTCGTGATCAAATAGAGATTCCCTGGTGATGTTCCCACCTCCTGCTCCTCTCCAAGTCATTTGACATTTATTTTAAGCCAGAGGAGAATCTGGGGAGAAACCTACAACAGTCACTTCACCCTGAGCCGAGTGCGGATGTGTCCTCTCTGCTTCTGCTCCCCGTCATTATCTCTCTTCTCCTTTTCCAGCCGTCACTTATAACCTCCTCTTCTCCTCCTCAAAGATTCTATATAAACACGATCCAATCAGACCGATCCGCCCACACGCATCACTTGTCTTTCTTGCTCTGTCCTTTCTTCTTCTTTTTCTTCTTCTCCATCTCTTCTGAGGCTGTGGCATCTAAAGCACAGTGTCCTCAGTGAAACAAATGCCCCGCGGTGCCGTGACTCACCTCCGTCACGGCAGAAGGAGAGAAAAGAGCTTTCAGACTTCACAAACACAACCTTGTTATTCCCTGGTTCTGTTACGGCTTCAAATCCTGCTCCGACCTGCTCGAACAGTGACTGGAGCTTAAAGCAAAAAGGATAAATCCATGAATCTTCACCTGCCCGTCCCAATATAAACGGATTTTAACATCAAATAGTTCGAAATTCCTGATCCTGCAGGTGTGGAGGAGTAAAACTGATGTTTTGACTCCTGTCATGTGCAAATTACGGCTCCACGTCTCCTCTTTTCATATTCTTGTGGATATCGTTCAGTCCAAACCTCTTTAAACCCTCAGGGCTTCTCTTTGCCTCAGCAGATTCACACTGAATTACATTTTCCAGCTCTTTTACAATTATCTTCCTCTTTTCTAATGTTGATGAGATAATTTAAAGAAAAGTGAATAGATGCTGTGATATTTCATCGTCGCCGCCCTCATTAAGTTTGTCAAATTGAGACAAACGTGTGACATTTAGTCGTGTTTTTTTTTTTCCTCAACGCAAACTGCTCCTGTTGTGGAAACTTGTGTGTTTTAAATGCCACAGAGCCGACGTCTCATCAGAGGACAATAAAACAGATTTCATATGCAAATAAAACAGACACACGCTGCTAAAGGAAATGAACGGTTCCACCAGGGTCATTTGTGTCTGGTCTCATCTCAATTTACGAGGCTGCTGGTAATTTCACTGTGATTGTTTCGTCCTGGCTGAGATTTCTTCTGAGTGGAAATTAAATCAATAGATGCAGAGACGCTCCTGCAACATCTACTGCAACATCTAAAAATCCCTCTTTCAGCAGCTTCCCCTCTCCGGCTGACCTGCGCTGACACGGGTCAATGGACGAGATTGTGTTGTGGTCACAGAAAATAAAACTGAGTTTGGAAACTTGCTCCGCGGCCGAGTGTCACGGACACTAATCGGTTTTTCTTCCTGAGGTGGAAAACACGTGAGCGATCGAGTCGGCTGGATCCACGACTCTCAGCTGCAAGTGATTGATGGTTGAGGGGTAAGAGACGGAGCTCAGGAGGGCGAGGAGGGCGGGTCAGGTTGTTCGGTGGGCAGGAAAGTGCAGAGGTCGAGGGAGAAGGATGAGGTTGGCCAGGGTGTTGAGTCTGGAGCCAGACGAGGCCTGGACGAGGAGGGAGTTCAGATCTTCCTCTGAGTCAGAGCCAGAGAGGAACTGCAGCGTGGATCCAAGTAACTCCTCCTGGACACAATCATTTATTGGCTCTCACATCTCTCACATGTGATATCAGCAGGTTGTCAAGTTCCTTCTTGTTGGTGTTACTTCCTCTGGTCCGTGGTTCCTGTCTGCAAACATGTGGAGGTTTATCAGAACTCACTGGGAAACACTTCATGTGCTAATGGATGAATGTAGATCAGGCTCAGATCATTTGTCGGCTTTTGTTTCCACATTATTGAACAGGAGCGGCTCGGAGATCAGCCTGCGTTTATCAAGATCTACTGCAAAATCTACTGGGTTCTTCCTTCGGTCACGTCCATAAATGTATAACTTCTAAATAAGAAACTGACAATATTACATAATATATTAACATAAACAGTGATTTTAAAGCTAAATCCATTATCATCAATGACCGGACGCAGGTAGCGCTATGAATTGTGGGAGACACTTGAAAGCCAGCGTGTTAGTGTGGGTTAACTGATGGAGCCTGAAGTCACACTGAAAACTGCAGTCAAGTAAAATATATCTTCACTTCTGTGAAGTCGAGGATTTCACACTGAGAGCTCCTGTTTGACTTCCTCAGGATTTTCTGCAACTCTGCACATTTTCCTCGAAGAAAAAAACCCACAGAGACGTTGTGACGTTAAAACTCCACCAAGAGTGAAATTGTGATTAAATAATTTAAATATGGACGGAGACAGAAACATGTTTAATCTACATAACGAGTTGGACTTGTTGATTTGGCCCAGCTGTCACTCATTAGTCCTCGTTTGTTTCAGCTCTGATCTCTCGGCTCCACTGAGCGTCGCTGACACGCTGATGTCAGGTCAGTGTTTCTCCTCTGAGTGGATTTTTGTGCTCTAAGAATTTTCTTGTCTTTCTCTCTCTTGGTGCGATTCTTCTCTGCCTTACTATTTTGCTGACTGAGGTCACTTTCTTTAATGGCCGACCTGCAGCAAAACTTCTGAGGTGTCGTCCAATTAGAGACGACGGAGGATCCGCAGCTCAGGGAGGAGTTAGAGGTGAGCAGAGTTTCTGTCCTTCTCTTTTATTTTGAAACTGGTGTCTTTTTTAATTCAGATGATAAGTAATCTCCACGTCAGGCTGCCCCCTACAGACTGTAACGCAGAAAGATTTCTAAACTAAAAACTGTTATTGTCAACTACTGTAACTCCTGAATGGCCCCTGATTAAGAAAAAATCCTAGATCCACTGCTCCGGCTGCTCTGTAATCAAAAAGCTCTGGTGGTTTAAAAACAGTGGTAACTTCAATAACTCTGTGAACGCTGGAATATTCAAATCAGAGATGTGGACTCCTGGAAAACGTTAAAATTATAAACTCAACGATGGAGGCAACCAACAGTGCAGTGTTTCTAATTCCTCTTTTTAAATTAAAACCATGACTGACGACAGCAGGGATTTACTCTTTAAAACCCAACGAGCTCACGACTGCAGGACTTTAAAAAAAACAAGTTTTACTTTTTTCCTCCTGGAAATTCTGTGAAGGAAAGACAGCGACTCTCCAGGATTCTTTAATTAAAGTATTACACTGTACAGAAGGCTGCTCTGATACCTCTCTGTTATTATTCGTTGGTCAAACCAAGCTTCTCTCCTACAAGAGAAAACACATTTTTCCTTTGGTCAAATCCACCTTTTGTCGCAGGTCTGTCTTCATCCCTCTTTTAATCCCTCCTGACTCGGTTTTTTTGAACTCTAGTTCTATTTTTCTCCCCTTGTGCCTCCTCTAGATAACATTTACAGGGAAATAAGCTGTTTGCTGCGACGCACACTCGGAGGATTCACATTTGATGATGCTTCAAATCACCTTAAAGCATGAAACGCTCCACACCCTCTCCCTCTCAGCTCCTGGTGCGGTGGCTGGTATTTTTAGACGGCTCGTCAAGGACAATCCCAGCACTGTGGCCAAACAGATAAAGCTCTGCAAACGGGTAAGAATACTTTGACTGTGTCCTTGGCGAGGACGAAGTCGCTCACAGTGGTGCACGCAGGGTAAAGTTATTGTCTTGGTCTTTTTGCACATGTAGCTCGTCCCCACTCGTCTTCCATCGAGCGCTCCTGCAGAGAAGAGGAGCATCACTCTAACGACACCTCTTCTTAGTTGTTGTTGTCGTGCTGGTGTCGGGTGCGAGGTTTTCTGCCGCTGCTGCTTTCACTGTCCTGCAATTGTTGCAAAAATTGATTTTGGTCTCTGCTGAACAACAATGCAGCGGCAGGCAGACAGGTTGATTAGCTCCACACAAAGGCAGACAGGCTCCCAGATCTCATCTCACATGAAAGAAAAGGACCATTTCATTGGAAATATATGGGCCAGAGACCTGAGAGTCTCATTGTCTGCAGGAGGAGGAGGAGGAGCAGGAGGAGGAGGAGGTGAGCGCTGCTGCAGCTCAGGGATTATTTAGAGAGATGGTTGGAAATAAACTGGATGAATATAGACTAGGCTGTCAGAAAATGATCCATATATCCCGAAAATGAAATGTCTGGAGGGCTGGGAGGTTCTGATAAAGGGTAACGACACAATAACAGAGTCACGTGCACACGCAGGTGTACACGTATACTGTATGTATATAAAACACAGACACATATTCCCAAACCACCTGGAGTAATCTATCACAGGCTCGGGGGGGGGCGGTTGACTGTATGTTGATATATCAGCTTTGCTATCGGCACATTGGAATAGAGGCTGTGCTGAGAATTCCTACACAGTGTGTTTATACAGGTGAGATGGAGGCAGCCGCTCCTCTTCTTCCTCCTCCTCCTCCTCCTCCTCTTCCTCAGAATTTGATTGATTGATTCACGTGTGCACAGAGGTCGGTGTGAGCGCGAGGAGACGAGCTGAAGCCGGAGCGCTGGAAATCCATCCAAGCAACTAAATATCCGAGGGCAAGCACAGAGTGTGAGCACGAGCAGATGCTATTTGAGTGCAAGCGCAGGGGTTCGAGTGAAAGCATCACAGAATGTGAACAGGAAATCAACAAGCCTTGCTCTCAGACTGAAAACAAGAAGCGCGAATGGTCGGACCTGTGATACGCTGGCGTCCCGTGCGGAGTCAGCTGATTGGCTGCAGCTCGCTCACGACCCTCAGAGGATGAGCGATGTAGATAAATATGTTTTAATGAATATTTGCGGCTCCTGCCGAAGTAATTGAGGAGGTGAAGCAATTTCGGTGCGATTAATCAAATTATGGCAGTAACTAAAAATCAATTAATCAGTTTTCCTTGATTAATCAATTAATCATCTGGTGTACACGCTGTCAAAACTTAATGAGGCTTAATGAAACCTGGCCGTGAGATTTAGGAAATCTGCAAGAGGGACCTGAGAGCAAATTACACAAGAAAACAACAAGAAAATTAACCAACACACACACTAATGAGAACACAAATACTTTTTGAAACGCACACTTATAGTTAAGTTTTTAAAGTCTCTCGGGGGAGTGGGGGAGGGGGGGGGGTGCCTCTGGCGTCAAGCTGTGTCGCAGCTTGTGTTGTTTTTACGTTTCTGCCGGCAAACTTTCACAGTGAGTCGCACTCTAGACGGTTGAAAGGAAGCCGGAGCAGACTTGAGATTATTATTTTTGACGTTTTGTAATTATGGCTGATGCAGGATCAGCAAAGAAGAGAAAGAGCTGAGGAACACAGGGAAGCCGAAACAATATGTTGACGTGTGGAAAGTGTTTTTCATCAGCAGTTTAAAAATCCAAGAAAGAGAAATTCATTTTATTTTGGAGTTTTTGTTTGGGAAATGATTGAATCTTTGGAGATTGTTGCAGATTTTCTTCAGAACATGAAAGTAAAGTTTCCACACTTTCATCCACTGTGTGTTTTTGGTCACTTTGATATTTTAACACTCAACAAACGAAGCATTAGTGAGAAGTAAGAAACCAGTGACTCAGTCTGACGTGTTTCACATAATGTTTCAGTTTCTGCAGGATTTTCTCGGCTGAAGCTTTAAATCTGTTGAAGTTCAGTCTTCGTGTTCTTCAGCTTTACTTCAGTATCGTAACGGTTCTTCCAGCTCTGGGTGATAACGGCAGCTCAACGCTCGGACTGTGGACAGAGAGCAGATCCTGTCTGCAGCGTGATGTACGAGGCGAGTGGAGGGAGACGGACAGAACACGAACACAGACAAATGTAGCTGATCTCAGAGCAGCACACACTGCGGGGAAATATATACCCCCGCTATTGTTGTGGAAAAGAAATAAAACTGTAAATGTACAAATACTAATGTTTGTGCATCTTCCTGCTTCTAGATCAGTGGATCGTGATAGAAGAGAAAATCAGCTTCAGGCACTAAAAGGTAAAGAAAATCCGTCCAGTCTGTAAAATGTAAACGACACGATCTTTCTTTCTCATTTGTTATTTCTAAATTGTTGTGAATTTAACTGTTTTCATTTCTGTCTGTGCAGTTCAATGGGCTCTTATGATTATTATATTCTATTTATATTTCCTCGCATTTCTATTGCATGTTTACTTTTAGATTCTTATCTTATCTTAAACTCTACGAACTGTTTATTTCTGAGAAAGTGTTTAAAACAAATAAGAAGAAACTGATGATTTAAAGATAAAATAATTTCAGTTTGAGCTCAAACCTTTTTCCAGTTTTAGTACAAACACTAACACATTAAACTCAACTGAGTTTAACTGAGGGTCTGAAGTTAAATTTCCTGAATTCTTTATTGTTTGTTATGAAGTTGTTTCCATCATTTGGTTAATTGATCATTACCGTGTTTACTTCTTCATTAGATGGAGACAAATGAAAACTTCGTACAAACCCTCCACCAAGCGTGATCGATGCAGCTCCGCACAAAGAAAGATTAAAAACCCAAATTGCTTGGACAACCTGAACCGCTCATTAGCGTCAGCGTCGCTGATCAGTGGTCAGAGAGATCTGGGCTTTGATTGACAGGTGCGATGTGCATCTGAGCGTCCAGGCTAATTTTGACAGATAGCTGTTTCTGTGCGGCGTCACAAACTGCAGCGGCGTGAAATGAGCTTTAATTACTGCCGGTTATTCCAGCTCTGATGTTGTTTGTGCTCTGTTTCGCTCCGGCGGCCACGCGACCCGCTCGGCTTGTAGATGAGCTGAACGTGTTGTTGTTGCTGAAGGTTAGCATCTCTGAACGTCACGTGCGCGTGCGAACGCTTCAGTCAGACATTACTGCTAATTGTTTCGGCGCAGGCTCGACCTTCTGTGCTTTGCACGTCTCATCTATTAAAAGTTTAGTGAATATTCACTTCAAACCGAAGCCGAGAGCGAGAACCAAACTGTTCTTTCACTTTCAGATGTGACTTCAGAGCTCGTCAGTGGATCGGATCCCTTTCACGTTTCTCTTTGTGCTGTAATCAGCCTCCAGCTTCTCTGAGCTGAACATCATGAACTCTTTATGGCTGCTTTTAAATCGGGTTCTACGAGGAACGTGTTATCAGAGCGACTCAATTTAACAGCTTTGTGTTACGAGGCGACTGAACAACACACGTGGATTTGTTGATGAGACTTTTTCACACGTTTTACAGAGTAAATGAGTTTGGAAATATCTCGTTCAGCTGATTGATATTTCAGTCGATCTTGTATTATATCTCCACCATCAGTCATTTTAAAAGATTCTCATATTCATTTGTCTTCAAAGTAAAAGCACAATGTTTGTTTAATTGCTGCAATGCTGCTAATTCAAGTCCAGTATTTTAAAATTGCCAATCGTCAATTAATCAATTAACCCTTTACTCTGAACATTTTCCAGAACCCGGAGGTGATGTCGTGTGTTGATAGTTCGCTCAGAGAAGCTCAGTAAAATGAAACTCACAGCGACAGTAAGGTTTTTTTATTTGTGAGGCTGGAACAGGAGAAGAAAACTCTGAAGGAAACTTTTCTCTCCTCACAGTGAACGTGGCTGAGTAAAAGAAATGGAATATTCCAGCGCCCGGTCTTTATTGCCACTTAACTGCTGCTGTCCGTACACAGCTGCTGCATCAGTTCTGTAATTATATATAATCACAGCCAAGAACATCCTGTGTTACTCAGAGTGTCACTCAGAAATCATGTTGGACTTTGAGTCTGTGGGTGTTTTGTGCAAGAAAATCACCGAAAATCTGTTTGATAAAAAAAGTTTAATATTCAGGCTTTTATATTTCCTTGGAAAAGTTTTTTGTGTTGGTGATTATTTGCTTCGTAATGATCGTGAACTTTCGTTCTTTTTACAGCTTCACCTCAACAGTCACTCAAACTTCGTGCTGTTTAACTGTTTATGTGACTTTACTGTTACACAAGACGTGATTGAACGTACGGACAAAATCGATCACGACTTTCCTCACAGGTCCTGAATTTACACATAACTCGGTTTATTTCATTGTTAAAAAAGTACACAAACAGTTCTGACTCCCACTCAGCTACACATTGTTATCAGGGTATTTCAGACATTACATTTATTTCAATAGTCCTGAATCATTAAAAAAGAGATCAAACTAGAACACAAACAAAAAAAATTTGTTTTGTGAGGTCATTGTGACTTTGACCTTCCAAAATCTAATCCCAGGGACATTAACAAGTTTTAATCTGTTACGTACAGTAAGTTTTTTAAAAGATGTCACAGTCGTCAGTTGGCTTTGTTTGACACCTCTTTATTTTTTAGTATAAGTCAGATGTAGGAAGTCGACTTTTACAGCTCAAACAGAACAAAACATGTTAATCAGGAGGAGAAAACAAATATCTGAGTCGTTAAACTTGTAAATATAACACTTCTAAAAACAGCATGTCATCGGGTGCATAGTTAAGAGTTCACACAGGAAGTGAAAACAACGAGAGTGTAAACAAAAAGAACTGTCACAGCTTTTTTTTGACTGAAAAACAAATGTAACGGAAGTTTAGTGTCACAATGAAACTAACTTTATCACTACAGAAAAAATATCTACTGGTCTTAATCCTAGAGTTTCACAGCTTGTTCCCGAAACGCTGCTAACAATGAAAAGCTCATCACGACAGAAAAGCAGCAGCAGGTTGAGTTATTCATCGTGTGGCCGAGAGAAGCAGATTCAAACAACGAGTGAGAGACTTTCTCTGGCCAGAATATCTGAAGGAGCCGATGTGAGAACACAGCAGGAGATTCTCCGCACGACTCACGTCAAGCGAGCGACATTTCTAACATGTAACATACGTAAAAAACAAACAAAACGTAAAAGAAACCGAATGTAGCAGTGCCGTACACAAGAACACATGATCTCCGCTGCAGCTCCTCCCCTCCCCCGAATGTCCGTGTTGCTGTGAACGCGTCGGAGAATCTCCTGCTGCGTCGTTCACAAACTCCAGAGAAAGTCCAGATGCAATTCTGTGTGGAATCACGAGTTACTTCAATAATACAAACATCTGCTGAAGGTAGTTTGAGTCGGGCTGCGTTTCAAATCTCATTATTATGCGTGTTGACCTCATGCGGCACAGATCGAAGGTTCACGGGAGTTTGTGTAGTTTCACAGTTTTGGAGCAAAACAAATGAAGAATCAGGAGTAAAGGCACCGACGTGATGCAGATTGTCTTTCAGGTCCAAGACGCACTCGTCCTCTTCTCCGCTCACATCGGAGAATTCACTGGGGAATAAATACAGAGCTGATTAGTCGTCACTAAAAAAACAACACGTCACTGCGCGTACATCGATTAACGAAGGACAAGCTTTAATTTATGCTCCGTTATGTTTCTTCTACTTCTGGGGGCTGTCCACATGTTTTACTTTTACTTTCTTAATTTGCAACGGTCCCTGAGGAAACTCTATTAGCTGAATGGAACAGTTTTTAATCGTGTGTGTGAGATGACCCATGAATATCAGCTCTCAAGTCAGTAAAACCAGGAATAACATTTTATTAATTAACTATTCTCCAGAGCGATGCCAATTAAAACAGATGTCAAATGTGACAATGCAACAGCACTGAAGAAAAACTTATCAAGATCAAATTTAAAGGGATAGTTTGACTTGTTGTCTGCAGCTAATTTCGTTAAAGATCTCTAGAAGTACGACACGACTGTTGTGTGTCTCCGTCAACCAGAGCAGCTGCGATGAGAAGCTACTCACCCGGAGTTAATCAGCGGTGAGCTTCTTTTTGGTGGATTTCTTTTTCTTCTGGAAATATGAGGAAGAAGAAAAAATTATTTGATTTTGTGTAGAAACTTTTTTTCGTTTCAGTTTGTGATGTGGAAATCTTAATATACGTTATCGGACTTCGGTGTTGGCGAGTGTGAGTCGTACTGTGGAAGCAGCTGCAGCAGTGAACGTGTCCGGAGAAGCTTCCGTCTCCTCGAGCTTCTGCTTCAGTCCGTTCTTCTCTGTAAACATCGACACGAATCGTGAACATCAGGACAGTTTGGTAAAGTCTTCAAATTATTATCTGTTTTTTTTTTTATGTCCTCTTGGGTTCATTAATTAATCAATCAGTAATGAAAATAATCATGAGGTCTATTAAAAATTAAACAACCAACAAGTCTCTTACTCTTTTTCTTTGCAGGAGTTGAATTTCCCGTTGTTTCCTCGACTTTATCGGCCTCCAGCTTCTTCCTTTTCTTCTTCTTCTTCTCCCCTTCGATGGAGCACAGAGACGAGTCGAGACTCAGGTCGATCACCACGCCGCTTTCATCCGCCTCCTCCACCGATCTCTTCTTCTTCTTCTTCGGAGGTTTGTTTTCCTTTGAGGAGTTCTCTTCCTGCTCAGCGTTCTTCCTCGGGGTGCTGTGGTCCTGAGGAGGAGCACGTTTGGGTTTTTTGGTTGGTTTTCTTTGAGGTGTCTCCTCCACTGACTCCTGGATCTGTCTGTGGGAACAAAATATTATAAAGTGACCAAGTAATTCCATGAAAACAGGTAAAAGATGAGCGGTAACATCAACGTGTTTTGTTTGTTGAAAGTGAAATCAAGTTTACAGACTTCTTCTCGTGTGTGGTCTCGGTCTGCGCTGGAGAGACGCTGCTGCTCTTCTTCTTCTTCTTCTTGCTCATCTTCTCCTCTTTCCTGTGCAGCCTCAGCCTCTTCTTCAGACTCAGTTTCTTCCTGAGCCGCTGTTTCTTTTTTGTGGACGACAGCAGAGACGAGTTTCCATCAGCTGGAGGAAGAGAAAACGTACAAATCGTCGTTGAGCTAAAGTCAAAGTGTTAAAGCTGCTTTACTTTGATTCAATAAAAACAAATCATCTTCTACCTGTTGTATCCAGTTCCTTTTCTGAGTCTTTGTCGCCCCCTGCTGCTGATTCCTCACCCTGCACCGCCTTTTTCCTCTTTTTCTTCTTCTTCTTCTTCTCAGTTGTTTCTGCTGGACTCACAGGATTCTCCACCTCTTCTCCTCCCTCCTCCACCTCCACCTCTTTTACCATCTTCTTTTTCTTTGTCGTTTTGTTTTCCAAAGGAGCGACGGGAGTTTCCTCACTTTCCTCCTCCGCTTCATCTTTCTCCCTTTTCCTCTTCTTAGCCTTCTTCTTCATAGATGGAGTTACCTGAGGCGCCTCCTCCACCTCCTCTGGCTTCTCCTCTTCTTTCATCTGATCCTCCTCCACCTCCTCTGGCTTCTCCTCCTCTTCCTCCTTTTTCTCTTTGTTTTGCTTTTTCTTTTTGGCAGACTTGGGGAGGGGAGTGTCGCTGACCGTCTCGGTGGTGGATGTGTCTGTGTTCACTGTTTCTGGGTCTTTCTTGCTCTTTTTCTTTTTCTTGGGAGTTTTTGCGTCTTGGCCCGTTTCTCGCTCGGCTGCTTCACCGTCTTCGACCTGAATGTTGAGGATGATGCAGTCGTCTGCTGCTGAGAGAGCAGGACACAGAAGAAATAAAAACGTGAACATAAAGTCACAAAAGTCCAAATAAAGTTCTGTTTCTGTCTAAACTTTAAAAAGCCAAACAATGTTCAAAGACATATTTTAACTATCAAAAACAATAGATCTACTTCTGGTGGAGGAGAAAACTCATTTTAAAGTACTGAACCTGCTAATGTGCTCGGATCTAAAGTAACATTTGTGAATATTGAACCAATCTGTTTGTTAAGAAACTACGACGCCACCTCTGAAAGTAGAAGACAAAAGTTGTACAACATGTTTTAAATATGACGATAACTCTGTTAATAGTTTCGTTACCGGCTTCAGCAACAGGAAGTTCTGCGGTGTCACCTCCGTCACTGGGACCTGCTGACGTCTCCGTCTCGTTCTCGGGCTTCAGGTTGGATGTGAGGTCGCTGCCCTGAGGAAACAAAATACAAGAACCCATGATTGACTCTCTGCTCCTGGAAATGTTTTATTAGATGATACATCAAGCCCCTGAAATTAATTAATTAATTAATAAAACCCTTTATCACAGATTTTTTTTGTACCTTGTCCTCTACGGTCTCGTCCTCTACGGTCACGTCCTCTACGGTCTCGTCCTCTTTTGGATTTTCAGCGTCGCTCTCAGTTTCTATAAAAGATGGAAAAACAGCTGCCATCATATCGTGTGAACTCTTCTGTTCCTTGTTAAGACATCAGGAGTATTTTTAATTAATTATGACACAGAGAGATTAACTGAAGATGTTCTGCATAAAAACCTCAAACTATTACAGTACAGAAACAAAAGTGAGGAAACAGAAGTTTTAAGATTTCCCATCCAAAGAAATCTCGTCATCTACGATCAGAGAACTGATATATTTCATTGCTCCCATCTGAATCCACCTCAGGACCTTCTTCATGTTTTAACTTGTCCAACTACTAAATGATGACACTGTCCCAACAACTGCTGCAACGTGATCCAGCAATGATTCATTTTAACCTCGAGTAAAATCCTGTGGAACGCGTTGAAACACGTCGGTAAACAAGATGTTTGTGATTCTCAGAGTCGCTCTAGTTTGTCTGACAAGCTCCCACAGGCTTCAACGAACCCTCCGAGGAGTGACATCGTGGAAACGTCCTCTGAACGCAGCTGCCAGGCCTCGTTCCCTTCAGAGATCTTTACGGGTTCAGGAGGCGAATCCAAAAGCCTCAAGGTAAAAGATAAAAGTCTTCTCTGCAAATAAAACGCTCTAAAAGTTCTGCACACAGCTGCACGGACAATGGTGCCAATGAGAGGGAAAATACTTCTCTTCTTTTTTTCTTTTTTTTCTTTGTGGGACATTTTATAAACGTCACGATTAATAATATTTATTAACCGAAAAAGGAAACAAGTTGTGAGTCAGAGTCGCAGCAGCAGATAAACCTCGTGAAAACAGCTGCGATGAAGAAAACATCGAAGCCGCTCGGAGCCTTTTCTTCTCAACACCGTGGGATTTTTCTCGGCTCAGTGAGAAACACACAGAGGAGACGCCACGCGTGACGTCTGCTCGTCAAACATCTATTGGTTGTTCATACCTGCAGGGGGCGGGGCTTCACTCTCGGCCGGCTGGTCATTGGTTTCCTCGGGTGCCGGGTCAGAGCTGGTGGGCTCGGCCTCGCCGGACGCCTGCGTGAAGAATCATGAGGTCAACAACAGTCACTCCGCACCCAGAGTTTCTCTGAGGATGTTTTTCTTCTTCATTCTGATTTACTTTTTTTTTTTTTTATTTACTTTGATATTTTTTTGTGAGTTGAAGTTTTGTCAAATAAGACTGAAACAGTTTGAACCTGAAAATGAAAAAAATACATGAATCCGATCCAACACTGCACCTTTACGGAGACGTCTTCTTCCTCCTCCTCTTCCTCCTGAGTGCAGGGAGGTGTGGCCTCCGTTTGACTGACAGCTGTCTGCTCTGATGCAGGGGTTTCATCCGTGGCTTCCGTTGCTGCTTCTGACTCCTGAGGACGGAGAGGACGAGAAACAAAGAACAATTTAACCTGAGAGTCGTTTGAACAACTAAATCTGTTAGAGGCTGAAATATTTCACTGGATCAGTGAAGGTGTCGTCCCGATCGAGGACATGAAGGTTTCACAGCAGTGATTAAAAAGCTGTGGTGGAGTGATTCATATTTACAAATCATTCTAACGGATGATTGTTTCAGTGTTTTGTAAAAAAATCAAACATCTTCTTTCCTGCTAAAGATCTCAAGGTTTGTTTTGTACCGAAGGGGATTTGACTTAAAAGTAAAAACGAAGGTGCACGACCACATTCTTCAGATTCAGCCTCAGGTCTCTAACCTGCTTCGCCTCATCCTCGTCCTCCACGTGCTCCGCTACGCTCTCGCCTGCTGAGCCCGAGGCCTGAGGTCCATCCTCCGTCTGATCACAGGCAGCTTCGGGGGATTCGGCCGCTTCCTCACACTCAGAGGAGCCGTTAGTCGCCTCCACACATGTTTCAACTGGAGCCGACTGAGAATCACACACAGGTACAAACTTAGTGCTGCAAACAAACGTCAGAGGAGCTAAAGATCTTTTCTGTTATTATTAGAGCTGTAACGACAGGAAGTCACAGTCTTCAAACAGGAAACAGCTTCATCAACATTAAACCATGTGTTCAAACTGTTTGATTTATTTTATGTGGAGTTGTTTTTTGTCTCCATGAGGAAGACAAGTCCCCACAACGAGACTGTGTCAACAACGTCTGTCCCAAAACATGAGTACTACAGAGAGAGAGAGAGAGAGAGAGAGCGCACACACACACACACACAGTCTCAGAAGATTATCCGTCTGTCACACACACAGTTTCTGTCCAAACAGCATCATCGACTGCATCACTGAGCCGAAATAAAGAACAGAGACGAGACTTTGATATTCACACACTCACACACACACTACACAATGTGTGTGTGAGTGTGTGTGTATCTCAGGAGCATAAAACAACACTGCAGCTACTGTTAATCTATCAGGACATTATCTCAGTGACTGGACAAGAGTTATCTGTCTGTGTGTGTCTGTGTGTGTGTGTGTGTGTGTGTGTGATGACAGTGGTTTCCTGTAGCTTCAATCTAGGTCAAATCAAATCAAAACATTTTGCTGTCAGATTTATTTTCCTAAAGTTTTCTGTAGATTTTGTACTAAAACTAAAATCCTGCCGAGCTGGACGTCGTCGTGCTGATGATGAAGAAGTGTTGATCATCGATTAAGGTCTTTGAGCTGCATTCAGGCGTACGGACTCGGGTGTGGTTCACCTCGGATCACTGAACCTCTCCTGATTAATCAGCGTCAAAGTCAGAGAACAGTAAGTGGTGCCCTTCATAATTTCCCTAAGCTGAGGATGATGTGTTCCTGTAAGAGGCGCTCGTCTCTGCTCACCTCTCCTTCTTTTGTTTTTTCCTCCTCTTCATCGTCCGGCAGCTTCTCGGCGTCGTTCCCCTCTGAGGCGGACCACTCCACGCCATTTGACAGGGGCGCTGAAAGACGAGATGTTTTAGATTAGGTTCTTCCTCTAAATGTTAAAGCACAAAACAAACACACAGATGAATATATAGTTTTACCAGGTGGAGGCTTTGAGTCAACATTATTTTCCTCTGCGACGTCGGAGAGTTTAGCGTCCGCGCCCTCTTCCTCTTCGCTGGTGGCAGGTTCTGCTTTAATGCTCTTCTTCTTCACAGTGGTCGAGTCTTCTGTCTCCTGTTTAGCATCTTGGGCTAAAGAGCAAAGTCTGCAACACACAAGAACATTTATTTAATTGTCACCGAGTTTGGAAACAGATAAGATGCTTTTGAAAACTCTTCTCTTTTAAATATTTTACTCGCAGCTGTGAAATGTGTCGTTTGAAGAATCAAAACGTTCGGGTCAATTATGAAATGGAGCAAATTAGGTTTTCATTAAGGCTAAAAAGAGAATAATGAAGAATAACGGGTCACATCCTGTTGTGGAGTCTACAGATTCTGCAGAGTCATAAAACCCAGTGATTAAAGAAAATAAATCAGTTTGAGTGAATTAAAAACCATAAAGTGCTGAGTCATCACAATTTACAGCAAATATATTCTCTGAGTTTGATTTATATTTAATTTACATCACAAATCTTTTTGTTGTTAGTTGATGTTGCACCACTGGACATTTCTGAGCACAGTCTCAAGATGGACGACATGGCAGCTCCCAAAAGTGAAGCCAAACCACCTCCATCGCCCCCTGGTGGCTCGCTGCAGTACATGTTATAAACCCCGCCTCCTCCATGTTAACAGACAGGGACCAAAGTAAATATTCAGAGTAAGACATGAAATCAATGATTCTCACAGATCTTATTTGGCGAGTTTAAGTTCTTTAGAGTTTTGGCTTTAGTTTAGCTTTTGTTGTTCAGTGTTTGTTACGTCTCTTCGACCTCCTTCACTTTCATTAGTTTTAATAAGTTGAGATTTGGTTTTACTTCATTTCTTCAAAGATTAATAAAAGTATCTATGACATTTATGATATTTTCATCTTTACAGAGTGGTGTTATTTCTTACTTCACCCAGCCGGTGTAGATATCGTGCAGGTTGGAGCTCTGCTCCGGCGTTTCCACCTACACACAAATAAACACATTGAAACCATTAAAACACCGACACATGAGTTCAAACCTAAAACTGTCTCTGTTTCCAACCAAATTCCTCCCGAAGCCACATTTCCACATATTTCCTCAGAGTCGAGAGTTTTAATCAAGTGGCTGAACGATGTTCCTGCAACTCGACTGCGACGACACAGTCGAGAGGGAAAAAGCAAATTTCCTGTGGTTTAGAATCGCTTTGATGCCACATGATCCCGGAAATGAATCCATGCAACCAAAGGAAGAGTAACAACAGGAGAGTTCAGATCAGTGATGGTCACAATATGTGGGAGAAGCCTCCTCAGGTTGTTGTATAAATTTAAATATAAAATATGCAAAGTGTGTGTGTGTTTGCATCATGACTCTACACATTAGTTGGATGTTTATGGATCTTATCTAATAATTATTTATCATGAATTACTCTGTAAATAACGTCCATGTTTTATTTGGTCTCTAGGACATCAGAATAAAAAAAATTATCAAATGTCTAGTTTAAAAAAAATTCAAAATTAACTACAATGCAAGTCAGCAAATTCTGACAGATTATTTGATGAATGTAATTATTGCCGAATCATTTTTTGATCGTGAGGTAATCGATGAATCGATCGATCGATGCAGTTCTGATCCGTGTGAGTGATAATTTACAGCTGTGATCGTTAAACGGGACAAAATGTGAAGGAGGTTTTGAATGGAGTGTTAGTGAGGAGCTGCAGGACTGTTTGTACGACCGAGCAGCTTCTGTAACATCATGTTCTTTTCCTGCAGGAGGCCTCAACACACACACACACACACACACACACACACAGACACACAATCACAGACACACAATCACACACACAGACACAGACACACCGACACACACTTAAACCTCATGTATATTTAACTTCTTATATAACCTGCACATGTTCGCAGCGGATCAACATTTAAATAAATGAAACCTTCAGAATATTCAGACTCAACGTGAATCAGCAGCTTTGGGTTTTTTTTTTTTTGCAGACTCGCGTGAAAACGTGGAGGAATCGAACCTCTTACCTGAGAAACGCGTTTCTCCAGCACTTTGGCCGCTTTCTTGAATCCGTTCACCTTCAGGTGCTCGTAGATCAGCACCAGCAGAGCGTCGTCCTCCATGTTCACCGACGGGACAGACCCACACACGCCGACCGACACGGTGGACCAGCGGGTTATTATTGACAAGTTATCGTCGCTTCAGTTCACGCTGGATATTCTGCATGCGCACATGGGCGCTACCTCCGCCCCCCTCGCAATGCAGCACGGGAACTGGAGTTTTCTCGCCTGAGCGGAAGCGTTGAATGCGGAAGTGTCCGCTGAGATTTAACTTTTAAAAGTTAATTCGACCCCGAAATAAACTTTGGATTTAATATTACACCTTTAAAAAATGCTGCGAGGAAATAATCATATCAATGGATCAATAAA